TCCCCAAGTTGCGAAACCCAGGCAACCCGCCAATTTTTTCCCCCCCCCCCCCCCCCCCGTCCCTTTTTAAAATAAAAGGACTTGTTGTGTGTGTGTGTGTGTGTGTGTGTGTGTGTGTGTGTTTTAACGCCCTGTCCTTTCTTGGCAATAGCCAACAGCTTACTAGTTTGGCAGGCTTTGGTTGGGGAAAGAAAAAAGAATAGTATTTAGGGAGGAAGAAAAAAGTGTAGATGAGTTGGAAGTTATGACAGGATGTCAGGAAAGAAACTAGGGAAAGCCTCTTGGCTGCCAGACACAGTAGAAGTCTCTCCTCGGGTTGACACCACTGCAGAGAAATGTTATCTCCGGATTCCCCTGAGTTAAGGTCAGCAACGGCTGCTGGAAAAATTTATCTGTCAAAGCTTTCTCCTGAGCTAGCTGCTGCTTCCAAAAGGCCTCCAAAGATGGGTGACAGTTTGTTGTTCTTTAATCAAAAATATATACTGAATACATATATATATATATTTTTTAAAACTTCATCTATAAACTTAAAACTAAATTTAGCCAACCAGGAAAGGTTTTTTGTTTTTTGTTTTTTCTTCCTTTAGAGACATATCTCATTGCTAATTAGTGTCCCAGAGGTGGGACTTCTCTGCGTTCACTGCTGACTGAGGCTCTTTTTATTCCAGACTTTGGGTCACTTGGAAAAAGCAGTAGTTCTTGAACTTACGCTGAAGCATGTGAAAGCACTAACAAACCTAATTGATCAGCAACAGCAGAAAATCATTGCCCTGCAGAGCGGTTTGCAAGCTGGTGAGTACCCAAGCCTGGCTATCATCTCCCAAGAATTCTAGCACAAATAGAGAGCCTGTGGGCTCAACATCTGGTATGAGAAACATTCCTGCAACAAATTGCTTATGCACATTCGTTGGGGGAGATGCCGTTTTATCTTTCCTAAAAGGTCAGACTTTTCATTCGGAATGCTGCATGTGCCACCTGGCATGAATACGTATTAGTCAAATGGTAAAATATTTCAGTGGCATTTTGACTTAAGAGTTTCTGGATTCTGGGAGTTTTCCCCCCTCCCTTTGAAAATGCCAAGGCACCTATAATTTGCATCGTGGGTGTTTTACAGTTGTTCTTCTTAGTCCTGTTTCACTGGAGAATAAATCACGGGTATGCCCCAGTGTTTTCCTGTTTCTCTACTTCCTTATCACTCGGTGTGTGGTACGATCCTGGCAGGATGACAACAGGAGTTTTTCCTGCATTTCATGTGATTCCCTGAATAGCTACTAGGTATCTTGGTGAATTACACAATCTAACGAAACCACTGAAGTTTCATCATCTGTTTCTACCGACTTCTAGAGAATCACAGCCACCTTCTAACCATCTCGTCTCACCCATTCCAAATCATACTGCACAAACTAGGGAGAAATTCGTCTACCCACCCCCTCATCCCATTCTTCTCTGCCCTCCTTTCCAAACAAGCATGATGAGAATCACAAAAAGCTAGCAAGTGCTTCTGCCAGTTTCCTTACTGAAAACAGGAAGATGATCATACCTAATTTCTTGGGGATCACGAAGGGAATACATGGGAAAGACTTAGAAATAGCCTTTAAAGACGACAGCATCACTGCAACTTGTATAAGTCATTGAAAATAAGCTTACTTTAGGTGCCACTGTTCCTTCATTCTCCTTTTTTGACGATCTGGTCACTTCCTATGGTAAAAAGATATAAATGGACTATAAATTGACTCTGGTTATAAACATACTAGGATGTTCATTGCTGTGTCACTTACAATGTAAACTCAAGAGCAACCTATAAATTCAACAAGAGGGGCAACAGTCTGTCTCTATTAAATATGGTCTGTGTCTGTGATGGGATATTGTACAGCCATTACAAATCATATTTCATCTCTGAGTGGTAGAATTATGGATGATTTTTATTTTATTCTTTATACTTTTTGCTGTCATCCACATTTCCCCTGATCCTATTACTTTTGGAGTTAGAAACACAAATCAGAAAATGCTGTTAACAGAAAGGAAAGCTCTGGGTCTTTGGAACATAGGTGTCCAGGTGAACCACAGGGCCTTCTGAAATGTCTTCCTTTGGATCTGTGTTTATCCAGGTGATCTGTCGGGGAGAAATGTCGAAGCAGGTCAAGAGATGTTCTGCTCAGGTTTCCAGACATGTGCCCGGGAGGTGCTTCAGTACCTGGCCAAGCACGAGAACACCCGGGACCTGAAATCTTCCCAGCTCGTCACCCACCTCCACCGTGTGGTCTCCGAGCTCCTGCAGGGTGGTACCGCCAGGAAGCCGTCAGACCCAGGTGCCAAAGCAATGGACTTCAAGGAGAAACCCAGCTCCCTGGCCAAAGGCTCTGAAGGCCCAGGCAAAAACTGTGTGCCAGTCATCCAGCGGACTTTCGCCCACTCGAGCGGCGAGCAGAGTGGCAGTGACACGGACACAGACAGCGGCTACGGAGGAGAATCAGAGAAGACTGAGCTGCGTGTCGAGCAGCCATACTTCAAAAGTGATCATGGACGCAGGTTCACCATGGGAGAAAGGATCGGTGCTATTAAGCAAGAATCTGAAGAACCCCCCACAAAAAAGAGCAGAATGCAGCTCTCAGATGATGAAGGCCATTTCACTAGCAGTGACCTGATCAGCTCCCCGTTCCTGGGCCCACACCCGCACCAGCCTCCCTTTTGCCTGCCCTTCTATCTGATCCCACCGTCAGCGACTGCCTACTTGCCCATGCTGGAGAAATGCTGGTATCCCACCTCTGTCCCAGTGTTATACCCAGGCCTCAACGCCTCTGCCGCAGCTCTCACCAGCTTCATGAACCCAGACAAGATCTCAGCCCCCTTGCTCATGCCCCAGAGACTCCCTTCTCCCTTGCCAGCCCATCCGGCCATCGATTCTTCCGCCCTGCTCCAAGCTCTGAAGCAGATCCCCCCTTTAAACTTAGAAACCAAAGACTAAACTATTTAGGGGACCCTGCTGCTTCGCTTTCCTTCCTCCCGACTTCCAAAAAAAAAAAACATGTGTTTGTGAGTGTAGCAGGATTGTTCCAGTGTGTATGCCAAGATCATCTGAGGCAGGGAAAGAAGATTCAGGGGTGTGTGTGTGTGCGTGCGCGCGCGTGTGCACACGCATACGCATTGTGTGTTGGTATGGGACATTAAAGCTCCTTTTGGTGTAGGGAG